GAACAATTAAATAATCATAACAAAATTCGATTGTTTTATAGAATAGTAAAAAAACTAATAGTTAGATTCTTTACAAAACGCAATTTATCGAAAGCAAGGCATCTTCGAAGTGGTCGTGTAAGAGTCTCGATTTTTGCCTTTTTGTTAAAAGGTGATTTTTAGTTAATTTTAAAATCATTTTCCGTATGTTGGTACACAAATGAAAATATGGTGTGGGTTGAAAATCAATATTAAAATCATCATTTACAAATACCAAAACTTTACTTTCACAAAACTAATCACTAGTGGGAATAAAACAGTATAAGATATCACTGGTAAGTGATATTGCGCGAAATTGAAAACGGAATGGTGAGTATAATTTTATAATAATGTAACATAGTTATTACTAATTTACTATTAACTAGTAGAAAATGAAGAATTATTAAGTAAAGACAAAATTATTCAATGCAACTGCAATGAAACCCCGAGGGAAAGAAAGACCTTGTGTGGTTCTGCTATTTCCATGTGGCTGCTAGTGGTCCTTCATACGTCAACTATACTTGCAAGAAAAATTTAAAATCAAGTTTTAAAATTAAAATTTCAAGTAGTTTTGATTGTTTTATTTCAATGTTTTGAGATAGTGCTTGAGTAGTGGAAACAATAAAACCATTAGGAATAGTCGAACAGACCTCGAAAGAAGCCTCGATAAGCCCAAACTGAAACATATATATATATATATAATCGCATTGGTGACTCAAGAATTAGAAAACAAACGTAAAAATTCTAGTTTTGACAAAGCTTACAATTTATGAACTTACACTAACAAAAGAAAAACAAGCAAATTACAAACCTTGCAAAAACATTTACACCAAAATAAAGATTGCTATATAGTAAGTTTCGTTAATTTATTATCCTTAAATAACTTCTTCATATATTTCATTGAGTAAATAACACTTCTTTATAATGGAAATACAAATATTCACAAATTTAACGAAAATGTTTTGTTCACCTGTGATTTTTTAGTATTAATTATTATCGGTGGTTACCATTCATCACAAATTCGTAGTGATGCAAAACAGAACCTTGTTGAAAATTTCAGAACTTTGTGAAATATTTTAGAAGTATTTTAAAATTTACAAATTTTTGGAATTTTACAATGGATCAATAAAAACTTTGAAAAATTGTTTTTATAACATATATTGTTTTCAGAAATTTTTGCAAGAATATAAATATGTTTCCTATGATATAAAAAATATTTTTAACAAACTTTGGATTTCCTTATGTTTTTCTGAAAATTTTACAGGTTTTGGAAAACATTCATATGTTTTGAGAAAGTTTAAAATGTTTGTCTGCCGAAACATTGTTCATATTCCTCACTGAAATGATCAATTTTTCTTTGATATTTAAACCTCTTATATGAAATGAAATCAACCCAACACCATAAATTCTAACCATCTTTTAAATCTCATCAAAGATTATAATTTTTTAATCACAAATTTAATCTCTTTAACTCTAAAATCCTAAATCCTATTGTCGTTTAACCCTCATGGATGTTCACGATTGTCGATCTTGCGTTCATGTCTTCCCTAAAACATAAGAAAAAAAAAACAAACGAAAAAAGAAATTAATTAGTTGAAAAAAAAAAAAAAAACTAGTTAGTTTCTTATAACTCCTAAAAAACACTATTCTACAAACTATTTTCTAACAAAACGTATTACTTCAATACTTCTTATAAATATTTTTATTACTAACTTATCTAATGATGAGAAACAAATATCTTGGATTTGTAAAATATTTTAGGGAAAGTGTGGAGATTAATAAATTATTTCCGTAAAATATTTTACAAATCCAAGATAATTTTTTCTTTACATAAAATATCGATTAGATATCTAATTTCATTTCATTTACCAAATAGAAAACTACAAATACAAATAGTGAAAAAACATTAAAATAAATTGAATTTTACATAAAAAAAACTTACAAAAATAATACTCTGTATATGGAAATTAAACTTACCATAATAATACTGTATACATTAGAATTAAATTTGGTTTTGTTAAAAGGAATTAAATGAGTTACTGGCTTACTGCTTACTAGTTTTAGGGAAGGAGAAACCGAATAGGGAAGTTAATGCAGCCGACATTTTTGACGACGAATAGTTAATTGGTTGTAATGTCTCTTAAACCGTGCATTACTTACAATTATTAAAGTATTTAACATCTTTGGAATATGGGAACACCTATCTTTAATAAACCAAAAAACATGGAACACTTTTTTTTTTTCTTCTTCTTTCAGTCGACAATAATTGTTTGAATTTTCAATTTTGGGTTTGAAATCTCTCGAGTCTCGTAGCCTACGACTGTTCATGGATATCTAAATCAAACCTATAATTTGATATTTTGTTAGACATGAGACGATGTTTAATTTGGTCATTTGATCGTAATTAGATCCTCTTTAATACACTGATCCGTGGTATAATGATAAATTTTGAAAAAAAATATAGTACAACACTATTAAATGTTAAAACATATAGAGAAGAGAAATTCCAAATTTCCAACACTATTAAATGTTAAAAAATATAGTACAACACTATTAAATTTCCAACACTATTAAAAAAAATATAGTACAACACTATGTTTTATGGACTTGTAAGATAAATGGTTAGAGGTGATACTTTTAAGCTCGGACAAGCGATGGATCCGAGGTCCATCAAAGCCCATTTACAGAACTTGATTTCAGTCCAATCCATTCATCTATAGATTCTATACTATGATCACTTTACTTCTTAATTAATATTAACAACTTAGATTTTAAAGTAGACAAAAAAGTAATTAGATTCTTTTACATTTAAACCAAAATACCACTCACATTCCACCTAATTGCGTTGTCAAATAATTTGACTCCACCAAATATTGTAACATGCTTTCGTCAAACTCATGATATGATATGAATAAGATAGATTGTTATTAACCAATTTAGGTTGTTTAATGGTTTGTACTTTGTACTAGTGTAATACTATCATTGTTGCGTTATCACTCGAGTTAAAACATGCATAATACATGTCGTTTATTGGATATAGGAAACTCATTATCTCATTTAGGGCATATCTTTGTCTCCCTCTAGTGAAAATGTTTTATACATACGGTGCTGCAACAAAACTCATTGTAATCATGACGGCCATTGACCACACGGAGTCACGGACTATCTCACACAGTAAATCTGAACAACTCGTAGCATAAACTGATCACACAACAAAAACATCAAATCATAATTTCACCACAAGAAGAAACACCAGAAGATTATCAGTTTCTAGTTTCACAAAGATGATGTTTTTTTGTTTCGTTTAAAACAGGACCCACTTCATTTGGTCCTGTCTTCAGAAAGTTAAAAAGGACACAGAGAGAGGTCTATTGAATCATACATAGAAATTAAGGCAGATTTTTCATATAGAGATAATTTAGTAGGTGGGATTTTCCGTTTAGCCCATGGCATACTTCTGAGTCCAGCTCCGTGCAGTGGACTCGTACTTGTTCTTGTCAGTCTTGTACATGTGAGCTATCTCAGGCACCAAAGGATCATCCGGGTTTGGATCGGTTAACAAAGAACAGATCGATAGCAGCACCTGTTCATTGCAAAGCAGTTCTTAGAACAGCTCGGAAACAAACAACCAATTTTCATCCTCAATGAGTCTAAGCTTAATGCTTCAGAGATAACTAAAATCCTCAGAGTTATACCTTCTAATGGGAAAAGATGAGCAAAAGAGGAGAAGATAACCGAAATGAGTCAAAGTTTAATGAAGACAGCTCAATGTTATCACTTCAACCAGGAATTAAGGAGCAAAAGCAAGTGTGATAGATTATTGCTTCTGAAGCTGTTTTAATAGAGAGTATCTGCATATTGTTTGTTATGGTGGGTTTCTAACGTTTACAGAAAAGAAGAAAATCCGAACCTTGGAAATGGTGAGCGCAGGACTCCACTGCTCCTTCAAGATGTCGAGGCAAATGCTACCGTTGCTGTTAATGTTGGGATGGAACACCTTGGTCCTAAAGGCCACCTAGATTTCATCACACCATAATTAGAACAATAAGATAATGAAGACCACAAAGAACATACAAGCTTTAACAAAACATACTTAATACCAATTCTCAAAATACTGGAATCACCTTAGGAGGCTTGAATGGGTAATCTGGAGGGAAATGGATGGTTACAAGGAAAACACCTCCAGCATAAGGACTCTCTGAAGGACCCATAATCGTCGCCTGCCAGTGAAACATGTCTTCAGCAACAGGACCTGTACACAAAAAAAAAACTCAATCTCAGACCACAAGGTCCATGAAAACAAAGAGAACATAATTTTTCTTCACAAGTATAACCAGATCCCAAAACGTAACACAATGAAACGAGTTTTAAGCCGTTTATAAGATCTACACCAATTTTGTTCTAGCCGCCAGATCTTAAAAAGTAAAACGAGTACTAAGCTCGAGATCGGAACCAAACAACACAAATCCAAACAAATCCAAGAATAAGCGAACAAAAAAAAAAAAACCGATCTATCAACACCAGCTCAGAGAAACCTCAAAATCTCAAAATCGAAAGACAAAACAAGTACCTGCGCTACATGATGTAGGTGGATCCTTCTGAAGATCCTTCAATTCCTTCAAGATCCGCTTCGACGCCATATCCAAAAACCTAAAAAATCAAACAAAGATTCTAAAACGGATTCAGAGAAGCTATAAATCCGTGAGAATTATAAGTAACAGATCTAAGAATTACACAGGAAAAAATACCTTTGATTTGTCGCGTAATCGGATTGGCGATGTTTTCGCCTTTTTCTTCTCGTATTAGGGAGAAGAAGAACCAAGACTTGGGAGAAAGAAGAAAATAGAGATGGTGGTGGACGAAAGAGGAACAAAAGTTATTATTCTCTGTGCTCACGTCCACCATATATAAGGTGGATTAATAAATTCTTTCTTTGACTAGTGGACTCTTTTAACGCGGTGGTTCTTGTTAAAAAATATCAAGTGGCAATAAACGTCGTCGTTTGAATAAAGTCATCTAATCTAACGGCTAAGATCTCATCATTTAAATTCAAAGAACAAAACACAAATCATATAATCAAACGGCTGAGATCTTTTCTCACTTTGGAGATTTTTTCAAGGCAGAAATCTGGTGAGAAAAAGAGAACCGATTCCGATTCCGATTCCGAGTCATCGTCGGCGGGAGGAATGGACCGGTTTAAGGAGCAACGGGGGCCGAAGTTTGACGGCGATGAATCTCCGCGACCTGATTTTGATGGCGGAGATGAAGATCGTAGTGTGGGGGAGGTAGACGGAGGAGATCAGACGCCATTCGCTGGAGGTAAAGTTAGGAGGAAAGCGTCTCGCTATAGAGAGCATCGTGGTGACTATCTCCACGTTTCTTCGCGTCCTGGATTGATGCGAATTCTGGAGAAACAAGGTTTGGTTGCTCCAAATTTTGGTTGTGATTTGATGAATTCGTTGAAAATTGTATGTGATTGCTTCATCTGGTGAAATTTTCGAATACGTACTAGTTTGATTGATATTTCATTATCGGATCTAGTTGATTTGATGTTGGATGTTCTTATGCTCTCTAGGTGCAGTAATGTGAATTGAACTTGATCTTGTCAAAAGTTTGCATTCAGTGAAATGAACTTGGAGGAATAGTTGAATCAGTTGTAAAAATTGTGGCATCGATTGATTTTGATTTTTATGTGATCTTTTAGATTCCTAGTGCTTGGCTTCAGATGAAGTTGCCAGGTGATTGTGTATTGATGTTGATGTGATTATTTGTAATAGGTGATACGTCGATTCTTTTTGCTGATAAAGTTTTGAAGTTCACTGGCTCGGGGAAGATGAAACGGCGTATTTTTATTCTCACTGATTTTGCGATCTATCTAATTGATCCGGAGACTGAAGCTATGACCAGGAGAATAGCCCTGGCAGCAGTAGAGAAAATGTGTTTGAGTAAATTGAGCGATAACTTCTTCGCTATCATTATTCCCACGGAATATGATCTATTCATGGCCAGCACTCGGAAGACTGAGCTTGTTCAGGTCATGGTAGATGTGACTAAAAGTGCATCTGACTATGAACTTGAAGTGCTTCTCTCCAACAGGTAACTGGCCGCAATTTCTGGTTTTTGTTGTCTCCTCTTTGAATGCTAATACCTTGCACATGAAATTTGTTTATTTTCATCTCATTTCCTGATATTGCCACTATAGGTCTTGTGTTACTGAGAACTGATGTGGGTCTTTTTAGTCTCTGAAACTTAGTGAGCTCTGTTTCTTAAGTGATTTGGCTATTAGTGGTGACACCAGAGGATCCACCTATACCTAGTAATCATATCTATATTTATGGAACAAGATAAAGAATTAACACTTTTAGGAGATAACTATTGAGATTAGTACTTTGAGATACAAATGGTTACAAGTATATTTTAAATATTGTTAGATAACAGATTCTAGTTTTGATTGACACTGTTCTCAAATGGCAACCATGATAATAGTCCGTGGAAACATTTTGTATATCTCTCATATCGTAGAACTCAGCTTTTGGTTTATACATGTGCAGTTTGTGTTTTATGCTGATAATGATTTTCTCCTTGTTTTTTGTTCCAGATTTGAGTACAATGCTTCTGCCTCATTAGTAAAGGAAGTGTCTTTTGAGGAATCTGAAGGTTTGTATGAATTAAATTCTGAACAAACAATTTGAATTCATCTAAGTTTGTGCCTGTTTTCTTTGCTCATCAAGCTCTACCACTCCTTTTCAGGGGGTATCAAGACCAAATTTTTGTGGAAGTAACTACATCTCAAGTCTCAACTCTCCTCGCTGTTCATAAACTTTGGAGGGACCACTAGTAAGATCTGTTTCGACTTTCGAATGTGAATGGATTCTTTCATGTTGGTTACTAAAAGCTAAAATCAGGGCGGTATGTGTTGTTTATTATATTCTGTTTTGACTTTCGAATGTGAATGGATTCTTTCATGTTGGTTATTAAAAGCCTAAATCAGTGCGAGATTTAGTAGTTAATGTCAGGAAAACCAAATCAAAATTTCTATATCGGGCTTCTGTGTTTTCCTTGGCGATAACATTATTATTGATCCTCTTAAGCGCCAACAGACTGTGTCTCGTTCTAGCGCAGATGGCGAATATAGAGGTGTCCTTCTTGTTGAAGCAGCACTCTTCCTTCTTGTATTTTTTCCCACTTGTATTGATCAATATATATATTACTTATAAACACATGAATTCTTTAACAAAGTAGAAGAAGAAGATTAGGCCTGGACTTTCGGTTATCGGTTGGGTCTATTCGGTTTCGGTTCTTTCGGTTCTAAAATTTAGTATCCATTCGGATATTTTGAAATTTCGGTTCGGTTTCGGTTCTTTTGGTTTTAAAATTTAGTATCCATTCGGTTATTTTGCTTTGAATATTTACGGATATTTTAGTTATTTTTAAGTATTTTCGGATATTTTTGGATATATTTCAGTTATTTTCGAATATTTTAACTACTTTAATTTATATTTTCAAGTATTTTTGATTATTTGGTCTATAAATAACTAATTATTTTGAAAATATAATTGTATTTCGGGTATTTCGGTTATCAAAAATATTTTGGTTCGGTGCCGATTCGGTTACGGTTATTTCGGTTATTAAATTTACTATCTATTCGGTTATTTTCAAATTTTTGGTTCGATTCGGTTTGTTTTTTTCTTCGGTTTTGGTTTTGTATATTCGGTTCGGTTTATTTGCCCGTGCCGAAGATTACGACTATATGGGCTTAGTTCAGGCCTGATCAAAAGTCAAGGCCCAATCGTTTGTTTTTAGTTATATAGAACAAAGGGACGGTTATGTCCCAAAACCAGGATAAATACTTTTTCGTACCTTGTTCAATCCTAAATCCCTACATCTGAAAATTTTCTTTCGAGGGTCGGGAACCCTAGAAGTCGCACTTGTCAAATTAACAATGGAAGAATTCGCCATCAAAGTAATCTTCTTATCCTTACGGATTTCTTCTTATGCACACTTTCCTTAACCTATGTCTCTATATATTAATAGTTTCTTTCTTCACAAGAAAGAAGAAAAACATTTGAGTAGTAGAATTTCTAATCAGATCTTTTGTTGTACCTTAAGGGTCAGGAATCGCTGGAAACGAAGGATCGTGAACGGTAATTTCATTTTCTTGTCTTGTTTTTTTGGGGGAACTAGAATTTGTCATGTTGATAATATATAATCTCCTGCAATCAAATTGTAGGGGTAGCACAATTTCCGTTGAAGGATATGACACTTCGCTTTATGAGTATCCTCTCGAACTCGCGTTGAGAAAGCATTTCGCTTCATGCGGAAAGATCCAATGTTTTCATATCTTCAAAGACTTTAAACGGGTTTTCCTCAAGAGGTTTTTTTGTAGCTTCCTCCCTCCAATTTTCACTCATGTTGTAACAATTCAACACTCAAATACAACTATTTTATTGTATATATTTTACAGTCCTCTGTTCATTAGTTTTTGGAAAGAAGAAGAAGGGGCCATAGACAAGGCATTACAACTTAGTGGAAGTGACGTGGGAGGATGGAATGTTGTCGTTAAGGCTGCACCCCGCCCGGAAGGTGACTGTAATCCTCATGCGGGAAACCTCTGCCGTCGAGAACGCGAGTAAGTTCATTAATACTATTAGGATGTCCGTGTATCTGTTCTTGATTGTGATCATGCTCTATAATGTAACTCTCTCCTGCAATTGAATTTTATAGTTTGCTGTTTTCGGTTTATGAAATACCTTCTTCGCTGTCTGAGATTGATGTCAAGATCGGGCTGTGTCATCTTTTCTCTTCATGTGGAGAGGTCACGGGTGTTGAAATTTACGCACACATTGATAACCAATGGTTTGTAGCTTCTTCCTCCAAAGCTCTCTCAAGTTATTAAATTTCTAACCAAAAACTTGTCTCTGTTGAATTTTACAGCGAAGCTATAATTTCTTTTGTGGGAAAAGGATGTGTAGACAAGGCGCAGGAGCTAATGAATGGACAAAGCATACATAGCAAAGATGGATGGAATATTGCACTTACTAAAGTTTTTCCCCCACTGCCCAAGAGCTTAAGAAAGCCTACTGGCTTTTTAAATCCATGTACATAAAATTTGCTCGCTCTTCTTTTTTCTTTTTTGCCAGCAACTCTTGCAAAGTTTTAGCCTCTCATTAATTTCCTTGTTTATACTTTATAGTATTTAAGGATGCTAAGATTGACAAGGGGAAGCAGAAGATGCAGAAGAAAACTACGGAGACGAAGAAGAAGCAGATCAAGAAGAAAACTTTGGAGTAGAAGGCTCTCTCTTTGTTACGAGAAGACAAATCCCTTCGGTGTTTTTTTTTTCTATTTAGTTTGTGATACAATGCCAACCTTTGTGTGTGTTTTTGTTTTAAAATATTTGAGTACAATGCTTTCTGCCTCATTAGTAAAGGAAGTTTCTTTTGAGGAATCTCAAGGTTTGTATGAATAAAATTCTGAACAAGTATTTTGGTTCCATCTGAGTTTTGTGTTAGTTTTCTTTGCTCATCAAGCACTACTACTCTTTTATTCAGGGGGTATCAAGACCAAATTTTTGTGGAAGTGACTACATCTCAACTTTCCTCGCTGTTCATACACTTTGGAGGGACCATTAGTAATATTCATGTGTGAAGAGTCCCTTTAATGGTCTTTCTTGAGAGTGAAATATTGAAATCTTTTTCTGAATGGTCAAATACATTAAGGAAAGATGGACTAGTCTTTCTCATAGTATATACGGCGATCCTGATAGACTTCCAATTGGAGTTGTTGTTGCACCTGTGGAAACCTCTGATCTGTATCCGCTGGCTAGTTTCTCTGGTCTTATCTCTTCCACCATTCTCACTACCTCAATCATGTTTGGTCTCTTCTCTGGTAATCTCGCCGTGCAAACCATACCAACCTGCAGCATTTCCACCATCTCTTCCTCTACTTGGGTACACCTCAAAAGCTCCACATCAAACACCTCTCCTGTCCATTCTTCTCTAACCACCGAGTTCACCCACCTCACCAGGTTTGCCACTTCTGATTTTCCTGTTAGTACCTCGAATATCAAAATCCCGAAACTATACACATCCGACGGTTGAGTCCCTTTTCTTGTGTCTGTTATCTCTGGTGCTCGATAGCCAACTGCATGTCGGGGTAGTGAATGCATCAGTGTAGCCATTCCTGCTCCAGAGATGCAGCCATATCCTTTTGCGTTGAGGAAAATGTTTGAGGACTTTATGTTCCCGTGGACTAGTTTCCCTCCGCTTTGTGAGTGGATATGAGCTACTCCTCTTGCTGTTCCATACACCATATTCAGTCTAGTTTCCCATTCTAGAGGTTTCCGATCCCTAAGACCTCTCTGACCTGAATAGTTAAACGCACATTGACCAACTTAGTTATGTAAGATACTGTATATATATGCTAAGGATACCCATACAATAGACTAACTTAGCCACCTATGCATTACTAAATTCAAATGGTGGCATTATCAACATACCGTGTAGCAATGTTGAAAGACTTCCATGTTCATAGTAATCATATACCACGAGCTTCTCATCCTTAGAGTAGAAATATCCTCTTAAAGTGGAAACATTCTCATGCTTGATGCTGCCAATATTTTCGATTTGCTGCTCGAATTCCCGCTGAGGTACACTCACTTCCTTGATCCTTTTCACAACGATGGTCGCAGAGTCCTCGAGATCAACCTTGTAGGTTGTTCCAAACGGGCCCTTCCCTAAAACTTCTGCTGAAGCTCTCAACAAGTCTTCTAGGTCAAAGACAAGATTCTTCCCTTCGAAAAACACAATCTTGTTATCTCCTTCACCTACGTTTGGATCTGAATCCTTCCTCCTCTTGCTAGGTTTTTCCTTTGTAGATCTTCTTTGCTCTTCTCTATTATGGATGATTACCAATAAGATAGCAAGCAGAGCTAGTATCGCAAAACACGCGCTTAATGCTATGCCAAGAACTGCATGGTTGTGATGTTTCGTGTGTTTCCTTAATGATGAATGAACCGGAGCCAGCTTTCCGGAGGAAACTTTGTTTCCGACAAATGCTGAGAGTGGAAATCTCTGCAATGACTCTGGTACAGTTCCTGTTAGGTTGTTGTGCGCTAAGTCGAGAAGCTTCAGACCGGAGATATGGAGATCAGGAATCTCACCCGAAAACATGTTATAAGCAAGATTCAGAGAGTGTAATCGAGTTAGCTTCCCAATCGAAGATGGGATACTACCATCAAACCGATTCTTAGAGAGATCAAGAACCGTTAGACTGTCCCAAGAAGAGAAATCAAAAGGCAAATGACCAGAAAACTCGTTGAAGTCGAGTTTAAGCTCTGTTAAGTTCTTCAAAGCTTGTAAAGTTGTAGGAAAAGGTCCAGAAATGTTGTTAGAACTGAGAATGAGAAACCGAAGATTGGTTAACCTCGCGATCGTGCTTAACTCGATATGCCCGCGTAGACCCGAGGCTGCTAAATGAAGAGCGTCAACACTGGAATGATCGGAGTTGCAAGTAACACCGGTCCATTTGGTACATATGGAAAGACTTGGTGACCAGTTGAGTGAATGAGAGTGATTGATGTTGCTAACAAATTGAAGAAGAGTGTGTTTATCTTCTTTGATCGTCTCTGCTTCTATGCAAATGTTGAAGATTACTCCGATGAGGACTAAAACAACTTGGCACTTCATTTTTCTTTGGGTGGAGAAAAAACTGGTTTAAGAGTAAAGTGACGTTTATAATAATGGATGAAGATGAAGAAGTGAGATTAGTTAGATATATAATAAGTTAACAATTATTGACTTTTGAGGAGCTATATAATAATAACTATATAAAAGGTTAAATTTTATTTAATCAGTGTATTATAACGAAAGTGGGTTGCTTTAGGTTAATGTTAGGTTCGGCGAGTTGTTGACTTGATGCATAACAACTCTGTTTTTGTTTTTGTTTGTTTGTTTGCTGAGAAAATCACGGTGAAAGCAACTCGAATATTTCAAAATTTTGTTATTTTTTTTTGGACAATATATTTCAACCTTTGAACAATTGATTTTTGGTGTGTGTAACCTAAGTCGTGTCTTGTAACAGTTGAAATTAGAAAAAGAGAGTTTCATGGTTCATGCTAATTATCGAGTCTCTCTCCTTATCCACCCACCTTCCAAACACACAAACTTTTGAGAAAGAATCTATGAGATCAGAGGAAAGAGACATATTCGAAGTCATCTTTTTTTCTCGTTGACTATGTTTAAAATGTTAGAAGTTAGAACTACATAGCTTGTGTTTTGGTTTAGGATGGTTTTGAAATGTTAGAATTTCATCATAAGTTTTAAGAGAACATTAAGTGATTTAGAAGCTTATTGATCTTTCGAACTTGTATCTTCTCAAAACTAAAAATGAAATCATGCATTATGGAAATTGTATAGTTATCTGAATTTCCGTATGATAGACAGAACATGTAGTAATCGAGTTCATAATATTTTAATGTTACAAAAATTCTATCAGAAAATCATTATTTTAGTTTTAAGTCTTAGTTCTATAGTAAACTAGTGTACAAATCTTTTTAAAACATCAAGAAAGTTATTAAAAGGTAACTTGAGATTAAGAACAAGATATAATCGTAAAATAATCAAAGCTACTTTGATCCTGTGACTAACTAACATAATTACCATGCACCAAAACATTAACTCGAATCGATAAAAAAATATAACTGATCTGGCAAAGTGGTTGTCATTTTTGCTCTTGTTCTCAAGCATGTGTAACGGTTGGGTCCATTCGGTTTTGGTTCTTTCGGTTCTAAAATTTAGTATCCATGCGGATATTTTGAAATTTCGGTTCGGTTCCAGTTTTTCGGTTTTAAAATTTAGTATCCATTCGGTTATTTTGCTTAGGATATTTTCGGATATTTCGGTTATTTTTGAGTATTTTCGGATATTTTTGGATATATTCCGGTTATTTTCGAGTACTTTTACTATTTTATATATTTTTCAAGTATTTTTGATTATTTGCTCTATAAATAACTAATTATTTTGAAAATATAATCGTATTTCGGGTATTTTGGTTATCCGAAATATTTTGGTTCGATACCGATTCGGTTACGTTTATTTCAGTTATTAAATTTAGTATCCATTCGGTTATTTTTAAATTTTCGGTTCGATTCGGTTTGTTCTTTTTGCTTGGATACATTCGGTTCAGTTTATTTGCACAGTAGTCGTCATTTTTGCTCTTGTTCGCAAGCATGTATGAAAATATATGGGCCTATTAGGCCCAGTCCAAAAAGACAAGTCAAAGCTAGCGAAGGATACACTAATCCTCATATCCAAACAGATCTCATCTTCTTCAAGACTTCTTCTTCATACGCTAATTTCCAATCTCCTTCTCTGCAAATTCTTCTTCAAACTAGAGAAAAAACAACAACAATGGATTACGATTACAGAAACAAGTCTGGTCCATCATACCCTCGACCTATGTACGGACCTCCATCAACATCTCCTTCTCCAGCATCTAACCATCCTATGTACGGATACCCTAAGATCGGTCAACAAACCGGTCACGGTCAGCAATTTTTCCCTCCGCCGGAGAGAAACTCTTCGTTTCAACATAATACTTCTCCCTCATGTAAGTCTGGTTCTGATCTCGAATTTAGGTTTTACGCGAATTTGATTTGTGATTGATGATCGTTGAATTTGGTTTTTGGTAGCTGGATTAGGAATCAAGGTGAATTTGAAGCCTGAGTATCGGATTACTCCGCCTGTAAGATTTTGTTTGAATTTTTCGATTGTTTGATCTATAACTCTGTGATTGTAGCTTACACTGTATTTGCAAATTGTTGCAGCCTCAGTTGTTGCCTCGAGTTGGAGATATTCATCGGAGTAGTTTTCAGTTCGATTTCGGTTTAGAGAGGAAAGTTCTTGCGGAGGCAGAGAAAGATAATCCAGATTGGAGTAAATTCGGGAGTGATAATCCACCGGCTAAGTTTCTGGAACCAACGTCGTCTTCAGTGGTAAGGCTCTTTCAATTCTACGGAAGCTTTTTAAAAGTTAGTCTGAGGTGAAGGGAACAAAGTATAGTATCAATGTGAGCTTTAGGAAGAACAAGTGTGGATGGTTATCGATGAATGTAATTAACGGGAACAGAATGGAAGCTTTGTAGAGTTACGCCGAGGTGATTAATGACAGCAATGTGAGGTCTAAGAAGAACAAGTGTGGATGATTATCGATGAATGTAACTTAACGGGAACAGAATGGAAGCTTTGTTGCGTTAGACTGAGGTGATTAATGGCACCAAGCTATAGTATCAATGTGATGTCTAGGATGAATAATTATGGATCATCTATGAATTTAATTAACTGAAGATTAGTTTTGTTATGTATACTACTGGATGTGAATTGGGTGAAGATCCTAATATTTGCATTATCATCGTTAATAAGTGATTCCCAATGCAGGGTGTAGATCCTGTAGTGATGAAATATGCTGCGTCTGGGCTAAACCCAGAAGCTGTCAACATTGCAGTTGCAAACTATGGTGATAATCCCACAAAGGTGCTTTATCATAATATCTTCACTATACATTATATTCTTGTATTAGCTGATTAAGCTGCACAGGTTCTAATTAGTGGTTATAGCGATCAACTATACTTTGAGTCCATATTTTAAAACTGTGATCAACCCTTCAGTTAAACTTTTGTGGTTCTTTGAATTGCCAGCCATCTTGCTTCTTCATTCTTTCCCCAAAGGAGAATCTATCTAATCACAGTTTTACGCTTTTCAGGTTCAAGAATTTGCAAATGGTTTCACAGCAATACGGGAGATGGGATTTCCAACAAACTCAGTCGCAGATGCTCTCTTCATGTTTGAGAACGATACCGAAAAAGCATTGGCACATTTGCTCCATGGTTCTTCCTAAATTTGGCTTTCAAGTTTTATCCTATAGTTTATTCAAGTAAACATCAAGTTTGATAACATAAAGATTGATAAAGTATAGATTATTGGGTTTTACTTGTGTAAATGAATGATTTTTTCTTTGGGAATTAACGTTTGTCGGTAAGAATATCTAAGCCCACATCCAAATCCTAGACTTTTGTATAATGCAATGCCAATAAAATGGCAAGTTTAGAATACATAGAAAAAATCAAGTGTGTAATTAGCCTTTCTCAGACAGATCATTTGTTCTTCTTTCTCTATAAGCACCAAAGAGCAAAGCCTCACACTTTGGATTCGTCATTGGTTCTACTACACTCCTGCGCATATAGCTTCTGAAACGAATGGAAATCAATTAGATACATGTCAAGCAATATGATTCAATTATATCTACATTGAAAATTCATGACATAAATTTAAGTACAAAAGCAGTAGAAGCTAAGTCATATACCTGAGGACCACGCAGAACAGCAGAACTTTCCTTCATCTACATGCTTGACATCAAGACCCACGAACCATGAACCCGTGCTGACGTCATCATGAGCATACGAATGAAGAATGTCTCTGTCACCATCCCATCATCATCATACATAACAAACACAAAAACTCAGTTTCAATCTTATTTCTCTGTTTATGCGGTTTGAGTATTTGAAAGATATGTGTTATCATGCGTAACCGAGAGTTGAACTGACCTATTGATCGATACAAATCTAGCCAATGCGTGCGTTATAACATACATCTCCCCATAAGCATGCCGGAAGTATCTGTAAGATAAATGAAACAAGAACAGGTGGTTCTTGGTCACATGGAAGAAATGAATCTAGTCGATGCATTGTTCTGATTATTATTTAACTTACGCTTTCTTGTCACCGAATTTCCACCACTCTGGTTCATACCATTTGTGGTTCCTGCAAGAAAAGCAAAACTTGAGTTAACATTATATCAGACTGATAATATCCTGACGATCCTAATTGTTCTAGTGGTGCTGGGTTTTAAATCTTAAACTCACGGTTCTGAGAAAACTTCGCCTGATTTCATGCAACCGATGTAAGCCCGTGGGTTTTCCAGATGTGCTGCAAGCGTACTTCCCAGAGCATCTGCACAGTAGCAGTTACATTCATAGCACATAATCATGTCAGCAAAATGCAAACATGGAAACTCTTGACCTTAGACCTCTAGAGTGGCATGAAAAAAAAGGGTGCAAGAACGTCATGCTCTGTATTTCACAGCCTAAAAATAATTCTAACAGTGAACTTCACAATTTAATTAAAGCACCATACCTAGAAGAATGACATAGACAATCAACTAAATTATCCATATTTACAATCAATCCAATAAACACCAACAACCAAAGGTTTCGACTGTAAAATACTCTTTGTAGTACTAACTTACCGATATTTACATAGATATTGTCGATGGCCTTGGCATAAAACTGTGCATCCCACCTATCTGCAGCGTAGGCAAAGAACAGTTTTACCTTCTTAGAAGCTTCCTCGGGTGCCTCAACTACATTATCCTGAAAACCAGTAAATGGCCAAGCTCTCAAACTAACACAGGTAAGCTGATAAATGAATGCTTGAAGTAATAATATAGAGAGTCAGAAAACACATACGAGAATTATGAAGTCATCGGTTTGACTATTTTCAGCATCAATGCTCTTGTCCATGCTGTCTCCTTTATTTGCACTACATAACAGAAAAATAATGTTTCAAAACAAGATTCCAATACCGCATAATCATCTTTAAACGCATAGATACATCAAAGAGTGATAAACCGAATCCAAACCTTCTTCCAATAACAAATCGTGCAATCACACCCTTTTCACTTTCAAGTTTTTTTAGTGATGCACCTGCAATAAAAGGACATACTAAGCTCACAACATCTGCAAATAACATACTGGTATCTTAATAAAACACGAATAAGGAGTAACCCTACCCGTCCCCATCCATGCTTGACGAACTGCATCCCTCTTCTTCTTGTTACCCAAACTAGTCATTATACCGATAACCACTAACGGTCTTTTCTTAGTTTCAGTTCCATCAGTAAGTTTGGGACTTTTTGAAACAAAGCCTTCTTGCCTTGCTGCACTTAATTCCATCTCAAGAGCTGCTAATGTCTTCTTCTGTTCCCTAGAAAGAAAAGTCTTTGTTCAACAAAATAATTCAAAGGAAATCAAAATCGGACAAAGTACCAATCTTTTACCTGCAAGCTATGATCTTCAAAGTATCATCCACTGATATAGCAGATTTTCCCTAAACCCATCATTAGCATTCAAGTACATTACACCAAAGCAAGACAATAATTGCAAAGGTAATAACTTTCTGACATGACAATAATCTTATAAGAAACAAAACATAAATACTCTCTCTGCTGTAATGAAAGTGACAATCAAATACTAACCTGTCCGGTTACTCTATCGAGCTCCTTGATTAGATGAACCCTAGTTTGAGATTCTTGCCATAAACTATCTCAAAAACACACAGAAACGAGGAATAAGAATCAGACGAACACAAGTAATTGTGAGAGCAATGGATTAAGAACTAACCGGCCTGCTACATAGAAGGAAGCGAAAGTTGCAAACATGGAAAGCAAAAGGGAAGATATTCTCGAGCTCGATAATCTTAAACTCGACCCTTTCCTCGCCATTGAAACAGATCCAAAACCAGATCTCTTAATCAAAGCAATCAAATTCACCACGACGTCAATGCTTCGATCGAATTTTCGCTAATCAATTCTCCAGAAATCGAAGTTTCTGGATCAACTGATTCGTCGTCACTCAAAATAAAAAACAATTAGGAAAGTGTCGTTGGATCTGCTACCGGAGAAACGGAGAGATCACTCACTTCGGTTATGATTTTGGATCTTCCGATGAAACTCGCCGAGAAAAATTGGAATCAGAGAGATAAGAAGAGAGTGCCGTTGAGATTTTTATCAGATGGGTTGTGAATTTGTGTGATCTTCTTAATTAATTACTCACTGATCAATTACCAAACCTAGTCTCTCTAAGCGTACTCTGATTATAGGTAAACTCTATAGGGTTAATAGTTTTAACTCTTTTTTTTTTTGTCTACATATGCATGAATCATCAATTAAAACATAAAAAATCCATGAGTTTAAAATTTCGTCGATAAGAATGTTTTTATTTGGAGTTGTTTATCATCACTTTTTTGCTCAAATATCACTTTTTATATCTAACTAAGAAATCTTCTTTTGGTGTTTCACGGTCGAGATGCAAACTCTAGTGCCGATTCTTTGGTGTTATACACTTATACTATTACTGAGAAAACGTCTGATTTTCCTATGAACTAAATTGCTTTGTATATACAGTATTATACGTAAAAAACCACACGAACTAACATTGAATTTGAATATACAACAATCGAAACCAACAACTTTGCAGATATTGTTAACGAATCGTTATCAGCTTGTTGATTAATGATTAGTATACCACGACTGCATTTTACCTATTGGACTCGGATCTCATTGAACGACGTCTATGTTGCCTTTTTAAGATCCCTAGTCAAAAAAATAAATATGTTGCATTTTTCTTATTTACCATCACAACACCGTGATAAGACCATGTGTTCTTTACTCAATAGTTATGGTGTTAAAAAGTTTAAGTGGTTCTCGATTATCTTACGGTTAATTTAAGAGACTCTTGACAAAAACATTCGTAAAGAAAAATGCGTCTTATACGGAGAAAGCCAAGTTTTACTCGTTCGTAAAGAAAAATGCGTCTTATACGGAGAAAGCCAAGTTTTACTCGCTTGTTATTATACAAAATGTTAAAACTAATCATAATCGTTTGAATTTCAAAAACTCTATATATTTATACTTGTTTTACGAAACAATATACAACATAGAAATTATAAAATATATTTGGTAGGTACCACGTAATAATAAAAATTATATAAGATGAATCGGTCTCGGTAGTTATCAATGGACTTTATCAAAAAGAGAGTTATTTCCATAAACAAATCTTGTAAGTATATTTTTCTTGATGTTTTGACCTATCGTACCTCGTACTAAAAGTAAATTTGCTAAGTTTGAACATCAATCTATGAAAATATATAAACGTAATATTCATGCCACTTCAATAGGTTTGGAGAGCATAATTTATCTATTGAAACAAGACCATAATACCTAAAGGAAAGTTTTGACCAAATCATAAATGTCTTTATTTTATCTATCCTACTATGCTTACATGGTTCGACGATTTAACCCGATGTTGAATATGATAGTCTGGTTTACTAAACCAAATTATCTATAGTGCATACATATATCCGATGAATTTCGTTTAGTCATGTGCATACATATATCTGATGCTTCAGGATCTTCAAACATTTTTTCGTCCTCTTCTATGATGCATTTGTTCGCTTTCCAACATCTACTCTTCTATTATCTTCTATGCTCACTTACATATAATAAAACTTTAAATTGATTCTTAACTCAAAACTATTTCCTCATTTTCATCTTCTTAGTTTATCTTTCGTTTATCAGTTATATGGTTTTCGTGCTTCAGTGTAATGTAATTTTACGAAAGATATATATTTGTTATAATTTTCTCAATAGTACTTATTTAGATTTTTACCTATATTTAAACATATTCAATTTTTATTTAGAAAGCAAACAATAATGTAGATATAATTGTATTATTTTTATTCTTATATTTTACTCTAATTTAATATTTAGATACAATGAATCTTTCTATTTTTTTTCATCAATGTGAATCTATACTATTACTATCTCGAAATAATGTAGATATAATTGTATTGTTTTTATTCTTATATTTTACTCTAATTTAATATTAAGATACATTGAATCTTTCTATTTTTTTCGTCAATGTGAATCTATACTATTACTCTCTCGAAATATAATTTTAAATATAAATTATTTCTTTTATCTTTAAAAACTTATACAAACATACATTTACTATAACATTTAACCATTTATTTTTTTAATCTAAAAATATTATTATTTTAAATGAATTTCTTCTATTTCATTATTATCTCTTTAAGTTAATGTTTTCATGAAATATGAATATCTTCTTATTATTAAAAAAAAAAAACTCTTATGGAAATTGTATAATAAATTTCATTAAGAATCCTAAATTATATTTGAGGTTTCCTTATTATTCTTAAAATGATAGTTTTTAATGTTTTATTTTATTTTTAATAAGTTATTATTTGTTTGTAATTGTATAATAAATTTCATTAAGAATCCTTTTATCCATCTTAAATAACATTGATATCTTTATAAAATTTTCATAATTATTTTTTATTTCTTAATTAAATATTTAGGGGTTATGTTCATTTTAAGTTATATATTAACATAAAATTAATTTTAAATGTTTTATATGTATATATGTTACACTTATGTTATTCTTATTCAAGTAACCTTTATTTAAAATTATGCATTAATTGATGATTACTTCTTTGATAATGAGATGTATTAACCATAAAATTAAATATTTTGAAATAATTGTTGGTGGGATCTATAATATTAATGTGGTGATGATGTGGACACCCTAAGAGGAGAGAAACACTCCCATTATATATATAGATTTGTGTTAAAATCCGTTTCCATAGATTGTTATGCGAGAAAAAGTTTTTTTCGATAGCTTCGAGAGAAGATATATTTGGATTATGTAATGTATTCAATTTTTTTTTTTTCTTTTTCAGTTGTAGGTTATGAAAAGATCATTGTGTTACTCTATAATTTTTTTCTAGTGATTTTTAACCTTCCCAGTGAAAAAAAACTATCATGTGTTCTTTGCTACTTGTTTTTGTTACCCGCGGCGGTTGAAAAAATCTGCTAAAGAAGTTCAAGACGACGACGTTTAAAAAACCATGGGCCGTCGAATGCTCTCGTCAAACTCTTACCAGATGATTGATTAGAGATATTCTTCTCTCTTCCATTTTTCCCCTTTCGAATTTTGCATTTCCGTCGGCTCATCATCCTTTTCGTGTGCTTCACAACTTCATCTCTCTCGCGTCACCAATTCAAAACCCTCTACGCAAAGTTTCAGTTTTTATTTAAGTTTCTTACATACCCATCAAACCCATTGATTATGTTAATCAATTGCTAATACCTTTCTCCGACTTCTTCTTCTTCTTCGAAATCCGCCATGGCCGCGGCTTTAAGGTCGAATACGTCAAGAGAAACCGCTTCTCTCACACTTTCTCAGTTTAGATACTTCTTCTTCAACCGTATCCACACCGCTCGAACCGCCACGAGTCCTCAGTGCAATCACCGTTCTAAATCCCCCAATAAAATTTCCTCGCTTGGGACGAGTTTCTTGGATAATCGAGGAGGAGAGAGACGTAATTCGACTAACTGTTATGCTTCACAGAAGCTCAACGGTGTTGGTTCTTCTGTTGTTATGCTGAGCTCACAAGGAGACCCACCGGATCTATGGCAGCCACCGGGTGATGGAGTTTCCGTTAGGGTTAATGGGTCCAGTGTTAATCTGGGTCGTGGTGGTGGTGGCGGTGGAAGTAGTCCTGGTGGTCCTGGTAACGGAACTGGGTCGAATTCGAAAGAAGATTGTTGGGGTGGATCCAATCTTGGGTCTGATTTTCCGACACCAAAGGAGATATGTAAAGGTTTGAACAAGTTCGTGATTGGTCAAGAGAGAGCCAAAAAGGTTAAATGATTATACTTTGATGTTGTTGTTTTTAGAAAGTTAGATTTTTGTATGCTACCATTTGGTTTAGATATGGGAAATATTTTAAGTTCTTAAGGCATTCTTGTGTCATCTTGTGGATGCAGGTACTTTCAGTTGCAGTTTACAATCACTACAAGAGGATATATCACGAATCATCACAGAAACGGTTAGTTCACCACTTGATTCTTATGCATTTTGTATCTGTTTGCTTCTTTGTGATTTCACGTATCCGGAAAGAGATTGTTAGTTATGATGCTGATACTTTTTGGGAAGCTAGGTCTGCGGGAGAAACCGATAGCACTGCAGTGAAACCAGCAGATGATGATATGGTAGAACTAGAGAAGAGTAACATTCTCCTGATGGGACCAACTGGGTCAGGTAATATTCTGACCCCAATCTGCAAAATAAATACGCAAGCCTGATTTCAGCTACTTTCTTACAGTTTATTAGTTCAATCTAGCGTGGTTGTGAAACATCAATTTCAGCTGTCTTACCGCATTTGTATTGGTGTTTTTCTTCAAGCACAGGGAAGACACTACTTGCGAAAACCTTGGCACGGTTTGTGAATGTTCCTTTTGTCATTGCGGATGCAACCACACTGACTCAGGCAATTCTCGTCTTTCTTCTAGTCTTTTTGGCGCATGTCCTTTTCATGATGACCAATCTGTGACATTCATTTATTTTTGTTCGGAAATGAAATGATTTGTCAGGCTGGTTATGTGGGAGAGGACGTCGAGTCTATATTATACAAACTTCTCACAGTAAGCTTCTAAAACCCAAACATTTAAATTTGTATACAATTACAGTTGATTTCTATATATCGTTTGTAATGTGGGGATTTGATATCTCTGGCCAGGTTGCAGATTATAATGTTGCAGCTGCACAGCAGGGGATTGTTTACATTGATGAAGTCGACAAGATAACAAAGAAGGTTAGAACTAAATAATAATATTTTCCTCTTACTGGTTTGGAAAACTTGGGATATTATTTCCCGTACTTAGATGAATTTTGTTCTTGGACCTTTTGGTTACCAGGCAGAAAGCCTTAACATCAGCAGAGATGTATCAGGAGAAGGTGTTCAACAGGCATTGCTAAAAATGCTGGAAGGAACAGTAAGTTTACAGTTTACATAGCCGCAAAAGTCTTTAGTAAATTGTAGAATCGCCATGCATTATTTGCTTTGAGATCTCTGCTAACTAAGATAACAAGACTTCTTTTTGTGTTTGATGCCCAATTTCCAACTCTCTCTTTCTGGATATAGATTGTAAATGTACCTGAAAAGGGCGCTAGGAAACACCCTAGAGGTGACAATATCCAGGTTTGTCGTGCTCTACTCTATTCTACTGTGTATGTTCTGGCTTGCACTTTGCAAAAAAACAAGGCTATGTATATGTATTTATTTTATCATGAAAATGGGTCAATATTGTTATCATACTCTATTGTTATTAATTATGTAGACAGAAGAGATTTCCAATTTAATGTTCTATGCATAACTATTGGAGTGTTAGGGTTTAAAATTTTTAATCGACATGGTTTCTTGTTTTCTTATCAAAGAGTTGATTAGGTGTCTCCCCTGTTAACCATCTGTTTCTTACTCGGGGTCTTGTTGAATATCTGCAGATAGACACAAAGGACATACTCTTCATATGTGGTGGTGCTTTTGTAGACATTGAAAAGACTATCTCAGAGAGGTCTGACTGATGAACATATTTCAAAAAATCCCCCCTTTTTTCTTATTCTCTAACTGAATTGCCTTATAAGCGTCTGAGTTTTTTTGTTTTTTGGTTCCAGGCGCCATGATTCTTCAATAGGGTTTGGTGCTCCTGTACGTGCTAACATGAGGGCTGGTGGTGTTACAAACGCCGCTGTTGCATCAAACCTAATGGAAACTGTAGGTCTTTCCATTTCTTCACCCACCAAATGTTGGGGATTCTTCTACTTGTTTTGGTTTGTATCGAAGTTTATAATGAGATGTTCGGTGTTGGCAGGTGGAAAGCAGTGACCTGATTGCTTATGGTTTAATACCTGAATTTGTTGGAAGATTTCCAGTTCTCGTCAGTTTGTCTGCTTTGACTGAGAACCAACTTATGCAGGTAATATGATTGACATAAATTTTTGACATTGTGATTCTCTCATTACTCGAACATGTTCATAGAATAAGCAATAAATCATTGGATTTCAGGTGTTGACAGAACCCAAGAACGCTCTTGGAAAGCAATACAAAAAGATGTACCAGATGAATAGTGTAACTACTCTCTCTCTATCTCTCTCCTTCTGCTCCAAACCTTGAGACAAGTCTCCATCTTCTCTTTCCTCAGGTAAAGCTGCATTTCACGGAAAGCGCACTGCGGCTTATAGCTAGAAAAGCAATAACGAAAAACACGGGTGCTCGTGGCTTAAGATCTCTTCTAGAAAGCATCCTCATGGACTCTATGTACGAGGTAAGTACACCTCTTATTACTTTCAACCCCATTTTGCTAAAAGTCCTCACTCAGACAGTTTTCACATTTCTGCAAAACATTTGTTTTTCTCAGATTCCGGATGAGAGTACAGGGAGCGATATGATAGAGGCGGTTGTGGTGGATGAAGAAGCAGTTGAAGGAGAAGGGCGTAGAGGCTCTGGAGCTAAGATTCTCCGTGGCAAAGGAGCATTGGGTCGGTATCTCTCTGAAACCAAATCCAAGGATTCCCCACAGGTAAAACCGAGAGAGCATTCCCGATTTTAGTTAACCGAATAACAACCTTCTGGTTGGTTTGATAACCGAAATATCTGAACTGATGGGCTAAAATTGTTGCAGACGACAAAGGACGGATCAGATGGAGAAACGGAGGTGGAGGCGGAGATTCCATCTGTTGTTGCAAGTATGTAATAATGATCACCATCATCATCATCCAGAACATCTGGTGAATGTATCTTTGTATGCATAATTTACCGTTCTTTGTACATAATGAAGGAAAGAAAAACAAACTTGGATAAGAAAACACAAGGATGCACAATTTGCACATTGATAAATGATGATGTAACTTTTATCTTATGCAATGTCTCATCTTTTCATTGATGCATCTTACTTAATTCAAGGTTCTCTGTGAAAAATCACTATTGAAACAAATAATCAAATCTCTTAAAAATAAAATTTGCTATATATTTTGCAAATTCTAGCTTTTTTTTTTGGTCAAACTTGCAAATTCTAGCTAGGTCAATAAATTCAACAAGAAAACGCTCTTGTAACAAATAATCTCTCAAGGAAAAATTCAAACACCCATGTGTCAGATTCTAATAACCGTCGGATTAAAATCAAGACAAAAGCTTTTAAATCAGTGAATGGAGAAACAAGCCAACAAAGAAAAGCACTTCTTTGGCGCAAACCAGTGACCAACAGAGAGAAAAAGGGAAAATCTTGTTTGATTTTCCTGGAAAATTCCACTTCCCCATTTCTCTCTCGTTTTTGCTCTTTTGATCTGCGTGAAAAGAAAGGATTTTTATCAAAAACAAATCCCAACTTTTTTGAGTTTAGGACTTTTTGACATTCAAAAATTATGGTGTTAATGGAGACAGATAGTATCGAATGCTTGATCGATAACGATGAGATCCATCACATCCACCAATTCTCATCAACCAAGTCTCAGGCCGGAGCCACCGTTGTAATCTCTCCGGCGACGAGCGTTTACGAGCTCCTTGAATGCCCAGTCTGCACCAATTCAATGTACCCACCAATTCATCTGGTTCGTATCTCATCATCATCTCGTAACATTGGAGAGAAAGATCTCATCGAATTGTGTTGCTTCTTACTGATATAAAGTTCCAGTTTTTATGATTTTGGTCAAATTGTGTATTTAACATTGCTATGGTATGTTACTATTGAGGTTCTTGAGGGTTTATGGATGTTTTGCTATATGTATGTTGGTTCTTTTATAAGATAAGTGAAAAAAGTTTCTTCTTTTCTAGTGTCATAATGGACATATGTTCGACCTGTAAATCAAGGGTGCATAATCGTCCTTGTCCATATGCTGGCTCGGAGTGTGCTGTTGTGGGTGACATGACTTTCCTTGTTGCTCATTTAAGAGATGATCGGATGCTACGGGATTTTCCCTTATTATAGTAAACTAAAGCATGAGTCTGTATGTAACTTTAGACCTTATAGTTGTCCTTGTGCTAACGGTTAGCATTGTTCACGCTTATGATTTACGAGTTCTTCAGTTGTGTGAGATTCTGAAGGTTTTTTTTCTTTGTCATATTGTTTTGTAGGTATTTCATTGTTTTGGACAATACTTTTGTCTTCATTTTGAAGCGTTTCAGCTCGGTATGGCTCCAGTATACATGGCGTTTCTGAGATTCATGGGAGATGAAGAAGACGCACGAAAATACACTTACAGTTTAGAAGTTGGAGGCAGTGGGAGAAAACTCACATGGGAAGGAACACCAAGAAGTGTCCGAGATAGTCACAGGAATATCAGAGAAAGTCACGACGGTCTAATAATCCAAAGAAACATGGCACTCTTCTTTTCGGGTGGAGAAAGGAAAGAACTGAAACTTAAGAGTCACCGGAAGAATCTGGAAAGAGCAACAGAATCCAGATTCTGGTGTTTGCATACCAAACCTCTGTGTGTAGCTAAATCAAAACCTGCCAACTCTTCAAACCTATCTTCAGGTGTTCGATCTCTTCGATTTGATTTAGTTTCGGGTTCTTGTGTTTTTTTTATCCAGACAGCTTCTTGTCGTTCAAAAGTGTATTTAGAGAAGAAGAAAAGAGTTGTTCCATCTGCCAGAAATGTGCAGACAGGTCGCAAAAGTTGCAATCTACACAACTTCCAAAGATTGAATCTTTCCATAAATGTATATCTTAATATTGTAAGATCTAAGCAAAAGCAAAGAATCTAAAACAGTTAAAAGAGAACATATTCAAATCATAATCTTTATTTCATTCAAGAAGATGTCCTGTCATTACAATAAGTACACTTAAAATGGCTTATGGACTATATTACAAATCTTAAGTTTGTACATAAAATCTTTCGTATACGTTACATACAAGGCCGAGACAGTCTATTGCGACAACCCGGAGAAGAAGGCCACGCCGGTTGATGGCAGCCACGAAGAACCAGAAATGAACTGAGCCACCGTAAACTTGCTAGCCTCGACCATTGATGTAATAACATGATAACCCGGCCACTTGATTCGTTGACCCATTCCTGAACCCGGCCCTTTGTTCATATACTCACCGTAGTACAACGTGTCCAACGCATACGGACCGTTCCACTCCAACCATCCTCGCGGGTCAATGTGGTCACCCATATCGGACATCATGTACACAACTCTAGAATACAACTTCCACGGACGGCCAAGATACGTCGGATAACTACCCTTAGAGGCTTCAAGATCCGGCGTAGCAAGTAGCTTACAAGCGTGAATCGAAATCCCTGTGTTCTGATTCGGATCTTTCCGATTCTGAGCCGTGATAGTAATCTTCTGCTGAGCCATCGGTTTACGCGCATAGATGTTACAACTCTGTAATATCACAGCTGCATTCCCGAATATAAAATCGACCGTTCCATAAATTTCGCATTCGCGAAAAAACTGTCGGTTAGAATGTACATAAAGAGCGTCTTGGTAACCGATTATACTGCAACGGTAAACCACCGCGTGGTCTCCACCAACACGGAGTGCCACGGCCTGATGCTTAGCCGGTCCGGCGTAATTCTCAAACGTTATGTCCCTCACTATAAATCCAGCACCAGTCGCAGCTACAACAATACATAAATCACTAATGAATAATCTTTAAAAGAAAACAGAACAAGAAGTTTTTTAAAAGATCAATCTTGATACCGAAAGTTGCGGTGTGAAAAGTAGTTAGATCATCGGCGATGCTTTTTCCACCGGTTATGACCGTTTTACCCTTGCCGTCTCCGATGAACATCAAGTTTGTCTTCTTCCTCCCAACTTTCAGATTCTCTTCTTCATATCTTCCTGATTTAACGTAGATGACGAATCTACGGCTACTATGCTCCGGAGCTTTCTTGATCGCTTCGGCGATCGTCTTAAACGTTCCGCTACCGTCTTTAGACACCGTGATATCAGCTTGAACCGCCGACGTCGGAGTACCAAGAAGCTCTCTGTCTTCTCTCTTCAACCAATTAGGTAATTCCTCTGTTTCTTCAGTCCCAAGTAACTTCCTATTATTCACCACCGGAACTCCAGACAAATCTTTAACTTTTCCGGCGAATATCGCCAAACAGTTACTCACCATCTCCGACAAATCTTTAACCGCTCCGATCACTTGATCCTTCACTTCTCCTCCTTGACCTTCAATTTCATCGAATCCGTCAGTGCAAGTGTCGTGGTTAGTCATCGCAGAGCTAAGCCACGTCATCACATCGGAATGAGACTCATCTCCGGAGACAACAACGACGGAGGAGAGAGCGCGTGTCAGCGCGTCGACTGAATCATCAAGTAACTCAAGGCAAGAATCGTAAGCTGACCGTACACGTGGCGGCATCTGAGTGTATGTGATCGTCGAAGAAGTATAAAGAGCTTTGCTGAATCTTTGAAGCGTTGCGTTGAATGAGATGTGAATGAGTTCGTTCTCGTCGGCGGTTAAAGATCCCGGAAAATCAAGAAGCGTGTCGATACATAGGTTCGGGTATAAGGATTTGCTACAGGTTCGGGAGATTGCTTGGGTCGGTTTACTGGTTTGTTTCGGCTCGGTTTTACCCGAGTCTACGGCTCGGATGCCGGCAAAGATACCGAAGCAGATCACTCCAACGACTAAAACGGCCAAAGTGAAGAGAATCAGCTTCGTTTTAGTTTTCTTCTGTAGCTCCGGGACTGACGTGGCAGGGATCGTCTGGTTCGGGTCTGATGGTCCGGCTGGACCGAGCCTATCGTAACCCATTGTCGTGTTTTTTTTTTTTTTTTGGTTTAGAAGAGTTTGTTATGGGAACAAAGATGATGTGGAAGGCTCTATAAATTATTATATAGAAGGAGCTATTTAAGAATAAAAATGTTATGCGTTATGTATAAAACTATATATATGTATGTGTCAATTACTCAATTTCAATATATATTATGCCTGATAGCTGTAATATTTTAGTCATATTTAATTGAAATGTAGTATTCAAAAAGGACCACAAACAAACAAAAATTGTCGATGGCTCTAAGTCTCTAACGATTGATATGTAGTAGATGTCATGTACGAGTATTATGTGAGTGTAATGCGCATCTCTTAATAAAACTTAATTCATTTCTATAATAGAATCGCAAATGTCTATTTACGATAAACTAGTTGGTGCTTTTGAAATATTATATTATATGATTTGAAAAAGAGTTTTCTACTCACCTACCGGTGTCGGTGCTTTTTTTTCATTCACGGATATTTGTTTCTTTCTTAATCTCGTTTTCTTTAACTAATTTTTTTTTTAAGTATAAAAAGTTTTTGTATCGAAACTCATAGTCACTTCCACGTTACTAATGCTCGAACTTGGGATCTTTAAAACTCTTCTTTGGATAACCAGAAATTCACACGTTGAGTTAACGACTTGGGTAAAATAGGTAAAAACACTCGAATTCACCTTACATGATGGATGTGTAAAGAAACCGACTTGATAGTGCTTAGCACTAGCCCAAGACCGTAATACCCGAGAAACTCGATATAATCAAGATATGAAATCCTCTAAGTATGATAGAAAATTTGGAAGAACAATTAGAGACTACTTGAAAGATTTTTGGAGAGACTTAGAGAACTTTTAAAGAGTGTTCTTTTATTTGAACTTTCTTTTTATTCACTTGTTCAACTTCCTCACAAAATTACAAATGATGGGGGTGAGGAGGTATTTATAGCCTCCAAGGTTAGCTTACAAAGTCTCTAGATTATTCTACCATCATCTCTATAACTCTACTAAAATATCTAGATTTTATCTTACAAACTTCTAGATTATTCTACATAATTATCTAAATATCTATCTAATAAAATTCTCTAGAACATTTAAGGAGGTGATGATTTTTCTATGATGCTCTAGAGAAATCTAGAACTTAGGCTTAACTTTGGGTTTTATCCAATATAGAATATTGAATTATAAACCCATAATTAAGCTTAAACCAAAATCAAGTTTAACTTCAATACTCCCCCTTAAACTTGATTTTGTCAACCATCCCGAGCTTCGAGCGAAGTAACTCGAATTGGCCTTTTGGTAATGACTCGGTGAAGATGTCTGCAACGTTGTCCTCACTTCGAACTTCCAAGGCTTCAATTGTTCCATCAAGAACCTTCTCCCTTATGAAGTGATGTTCTAACTCAATATGCTTTGTCCTTGCATGAAACACCGGATTGTTAGCTAACTTGATAGCACTTTGATTATCTCCGTAGATAGCCACCGGTTTATTTATGGGCTCGAACAAATCTTCAAAGAGTCTTCGAAGCCATATACACTCTTGAGCTGTGAGTGTGGAAGCTTTATACTCCGCTTCAGTGGTAGATAGCGATATCGTTGGTTGTTTCTTGTTACACCACGAAATGCTTGTGTCTCCACATAAGAACATCCATCGGAGTAGTGCGCATCTTTCCTTCGTGCACCCCGAACTTCTCAACAATCCTTCTTGCATAACCTTGTTGACCAACGAATATTCCATCATTTCCTCTTTCAACCTCTAGGCCAAGAAAGTTATTCAGCTCACCCAACTTCTTCATCTCGAACCTTATCGACATGTCTTCTTGTAAGCGAGCAATTTCTGCATCATCATTCCCGGTAATTATCATATCATCCACGTAAAGAAGAACTACTACGTGAACTCCTCCTTTCTTTTTGAAGAATAGACTCGGGTCAGAATTTGATGCCTCATAGCCGCAAAATTGAAGGAATTGAGCAACCTTTCCATACCAAGCTCGTGGAGCTTGTTTTAATCCGTACAAGGCCTTTTTCAGCTTGCACACATGATCAGGATGCTCTCGTGATTCGAAACCAGGTGGTTGCTCCATGAACATACTTTTATCAAGCTCACCATATAGAAAGGCATTCTTCACATCAAGTTGCCATAACTTCCAACCAAAGCTTGCTGCTAAGGATAAGAGTGAGCGTACCGTAGTCATCTTCGCCACAGGACTAAATGTCTCATCATAATCTTCTCCATATTTTTGAGAGAATCCCCGAGCAACCAACCTTTCTTTAAACCTATCAATGCTCCCATCTGCTTTTCGCTTAATTCGATACACCCATTTGCAAGAAACGGGCTCAACATCCTTGGGTTTTGGAACCAGATCCCAAGTTTCATTTTTCTTTAGAGCACTCATCTCCTCATTCATTGCAGCTTCCCATTCTTGGACTCCTTTAGCTTCATCATAAGAAGATGGCTCATCATCATCTAACGGAGCTGCGAAGAAGCATGAATAAGTAGTGATGAATTCTTCATCTCTATATCTTGCAGGCTTGACAATGTTTCTTTTCGGCCGTTGATTGACCATCGAACCATGATCTTGTTCCTCTTCTTCTTGGTTAGTGCTCCCCCTTTGACCTTGAATTTTATTTCCAGGACTTCCATTCTCACATGGTACTTGGAAAGTTGATTCATCGATCTTGGAGGAACTTGCACCATCTTTTTCAACCAAGACTTGAGGTGGCCCGTAGTATGAAGAAACTTCATCAAAGACAACATCACGAGACACAACATACTTGTGTGTCTCAGGATCCATACACCTCCAACCCTTCCTTTGTTCATCATAGCCGACAAATATGCATTTCTTCGCCTTTGCCTCCAACTTAGTTCTTTGTGAATCAAACACATGAACGTAGCAGACTGATCCAAATATTCTGAGATGTTTCACCGTTGGCTTCTTCCCATGAACCATCTCATAAGGAGACTTCATAT